CCGTCTTGCCTTCTAATCTATCTTCTAACCAACCACAAAAACGCACGAGTTAGATAAGTTACTCTGAGATTCCTCTATCTATCTTGCCTTCAATACATCCCGTAAGTATCAAATTCCCCAAACATTCTTTCCTTATTATGGGACATAGAAATTACGATTTTTCTCTTTCTGATTCAAAATACATATTTGTTTCATTCACAGGCAAAGCAATAAAGCCGCTAAGTGAAAGAATATAAGGAAAAGGAGAAACTGTTAATGAGTGAGAACAGTATAAGGGTACGACATTGGAGTATGCTGCAATTCTTCTAGACGGTCTCCTTGTTTAAGCTGGTGACCTTTGTTGCAACGAGGACCTTTCTTGCTCTGTTGCTCAGCTGCGCCCACACCTAATAACCAAGGAGGTTGCAGTCTGGGGGTTAGGGTGGTTCTCCTCCTTGTGTGGTATGATACAGAGTCCTGTTGCAGAGACATAGGTCTTCCAGTAGCCAACCTCTTGAACCAGGGAAGCACACTCCATGTTGAGTCTGAGGCCCTGTGGGAAATGGCGACAATTTACCCATCGCATCCTGTATATGCCGTTATGCACAAATACGCACATACACGTTCATACACAGTTATAGATCTCGATCTAGACACAGAATAATTGCTCGTATAACTTTTGATTACATATATATATATATATATATATATATATATATATATATATATATATATATATAAAAGATGCACAGTGGAGTAATGGATAGCGTCAAATCCATTACATTCACTTGCGTGCTAAAGGGTATGAATCCTCTTCCTCTTCCTCCAGCTATGGGTAAAATAGCAGGACAGACTGGTTTCTATAGCCTTGAATGGCAACTGGTCTAGGAGAAAGACAACTCTGAATTGAAAACCTGCGGTTTGGGGCCTTGTGACACGCAGTGCACCAGCTATTTGTATTTGGTCCTTGAAAAAGTGTGGTTGGTTCTGCACAAAGTCTTCACCACTATAATCAATTCATATGTGCTGGTTTCTGGCTGTCGGTTGCTTGACCATCATACGTCGAATACGATGGGAGAGACCATTATATATATATATATATATATATATATATATATATATATATATAATGCTAACTGATGCAAGAATTAGGGATTCTTTTAGACATTACTGGCAGTAAGATTGTAGAATTTAAACTTTAATTTTGGAATATTACTTCAACCCTTTATTTCTTGTTGTATTTTTGTATTTTGTGAATGGTACTGTCGATTTCTTTTCTCGGGACAACGTAGTCGACATTTTGTATAAAATTATATAATTTTAAGATAATGTCATGGCGCTGACAAAAAAAAAAAAAAAAATGGAAACAAACGATGTTAAATTCGATGTTTGGTTACGAATTCTTTCTTTTACTTCCAACCGAGACCGAATATATTCGCTGCCAGCTTGTTTCAAGAGGTACTATTTAAAGAAAAAAAAAAAATTAAATAAAAAAAAAAATAGAACATAAGACTTAGTGTTTCGGAGATGCGTTGTTTTTAAAATAAATTTACTATTGAATTGTTATGTACTCACGACAACTCGTTGGAAAGGATTGATACTTTTCCTGTCGGGTATGACAGGAAATGACGCAAAAAAAAAGATGACTTCCCCCTATAGAAAAGCGTATTTGTGATGTGCAGTAATAAGCTTAAAAAGTAAGTGGAGATTAAGTCTAGGAAATAAGAATAGATCACGCGCGTGCGCACACACACAGAAAGCAAGCGAGCTTCTTTTACGATTACCAAAGTTAAACAATATCCAGAGCATGGTAATTAACTACATGGGATACCAGATGCTGTAAGCTTACATGTGCCGGTCTAAAGAGCCAGATAAACCTACTAAAGTTTCACCTACGTGGATCGTCAGGGAATACCCTGAAGCCTTGGTAGGTTTATCTGGCTCTTTAGGTTAATATATATATATATATATATATATATATATATATATATATATATATATATATATATATATTTCATTTAGTTTCGTTTCATTTTTGGAAGTGCCATCTGATGATCCAGTGTCCTTTAAAAGGGCTCTGGTGAAATAAGTTATTATAATGGGACCTTAAAGTCGTCTGTTTTTCTTTAATAAATATATATATATATTTCATTTTATTTTTCTTTAATATATATATATATATATATATAAGAGCCAGATAAACCTACCAAGGATTCGCCTACGCGGATCATCAGGCAATAAACACTGACGAACGATCCGCGTAGGTGAAACCTTAGTAGGTTTATCTGGCGCTTTACGTTTAATTAGGTTTGCTCTACTTAGCGTATTGGGCACTTAGTTATTTTACTTACTCGTATTGGTTTTTTTTTCTTTGGACTCTGAACTTGGATGCTAGACAATTGTCTTCGGCTGATGTACATGTTCTCTGTTCTTTCTTTTTTTTCCCTTGGGTATTGGTCTGTTTATTTACATATCAAAGTGCCCAAGGTTTGCCGGACGAGTATAATTTCTTATATTTATAAGATTATTACTATATATATATATATATATATATATATATATATATATTTGGTTGGATAGATGTGGGTTTGTGACCCTGGATTTCACGCTTTAGCGATCGTCAGATAAACTCACGAGACATTTCCGCCACACTTCCAATCTTTAAATTTCAACATTTCAACATACAAATGCGTATGTATAGACACAACACCACCCGTATACATACATATGTCATATCCGAAACGGCCCACATATGTTTATATATGTATGAGTCCCGACGGACGACCAAGTATGTATATGTGTCTGCATATATCGATGTTTGCGTTAGTACGATGACATAAGCGACGAAGTTTCCCCCACCACTTCCACAATAACACCAATACACGCAATCTACATAAACCCAAATTTTTAAAAAAAATGAATCAGTTTGTCTGACGGTCGCAAAAGCGTGAAACCCAGGGTCACAAACTCACATCTATCCAACCAAATATGTTAGCTCTATCTCTGATATTGAGCGCTTTCTAATAAGTACCGCGCATATAATATATAAATAATTATACATATATATATTTATTTATATTTATATACACTTTTCACACACACACACACACACACACACACACACATATATATATATATATATAAAATAAAATATAGTACGAGCTTACCCCGGTGAAAAACTAACGATAATTTATGAGTGCTGTGCGATATTTACGAGTTTTTTATATTCTATAACTTTGCTCTCACTTACGTACTTTTTTTCTTTCTTTACTTTTTTTCGTGACCCATTTTATTTATCTCTCGACCCACTGAAGAGTCTGTACCCACAGTTTGAAAAACTCTGGTTTAATAGATAACGCCTCGGTACTAGAAATCTGAGAGCCGACTTGCAGTTCAAGACAGATTCGTTATATTTAATTACGTGAAAATAACCTTTGGAAAAGTATGGATCCACGTTTTCTATTGTCCCAAGATTAATTAGTAGATTAATTGGTATATCATTATTATCTCAAAAAAATATTCTTACAACCTAAAAATACGTTCTGGCTTTGAATAACCTATAAGAGGTTAGTAAACCTTAACCCCCCCCCAGAAAAACATACAAATCAATCAATGGATTAAAACCGAATACTATAAGCCGAATGTTGAAACCAACTTTAGAATACCTAAAGTTTGAAATTCCAAAGACTACAATCAGGAAATGCCAAAATTCTTCACGCTGACGATGAGAGCAATTCTAGAAATAACAAACCCCGATATCAACTATGCCAACCGTTTTTGAACTTTTACACACTTCGTGACTTGTATTAACTCCAAGAAAATGCAATCTAAAATATATTCTAGCTTTAAATAAGCTGCAAATGTTTGATTGGCTGTAAAAAAACAAATGAACAGAAAAACACAACCGCACATACATACGCATTAATGCGCACATACCTCCACACACGCATTATTTCAATTCTTTAAAAATCCACATTCCATCCAGGGTGATTGACCCGGTATCTATCGACAAATCCAAAATCGTCGATCAGATCAACCAAGATACGCTTACGCAACTTCCTTCTAACTCCCCGCCGTATATCTAACTTTAGGTCCAGGTTGGTAATCCAGTCCTCCCATTAAGATTAGGCGCGTCGGATTCATCAGGAACGGCCCAAACTGATGGAATAACGAAAAATGCTCCGTCTGCTCGTTGGACGCATAAATCGCAACCACCCTAATCAAACCACTTTTCACGGCAATATCGACCGCGATAAGCCCTTCACCCACCAACATCGACATGGACAAGGTTCATTCACACATCTAATGTACGTTTTACCAGCCGGTCTCTGTATGCTGAATAGACAACAAAGTCTCCTTGATCGCAGCCACATCCACGCCGAAGGACAAAGATCACGAAGCAGGCTGGCAGCACTACGCCGTTATCTCAAACACTTCGCATATAAACATGTCAACATTATCTTCATTTTCTAACGTCTGTGCGGCGGACAAGTCCCCGACGGATTGTTCGAGGCTTCTCACGTAATACGTCCGTCCTTGACAATTTCTCTGACGTCTATGGGGAATGTTAGTTTAATTGCCCTATATACAGAGTGATAGATGAGTACCTGGTTAATCCCAAAGCAATTTTAGTTAGTTTCTGGACCCCAGAAGATTATACTTGAGCCATCCTGAAATCGGGAAAAGAATCTTTGGTGGCAGAGATGAAGTCCCATACTTTTAATCTGCCGCAAGATTTACGTATGATGGTTATTACTCCCGGAGGGTTTTTTTTAAGGTTCCTCGCGTGCTCCGTCGATAGGGAAGGTGATCTTGAATAAAGGACTCAAGAGGGCCTTTCTTTGAGAGGAAAGGTCTCTCTCAAGACCCTGCCTAATTATCTTCAAAATTGTTTCCTCTTTGGAAAACCTTTCTTTTTGTGGGATGATGAGGAGGAGAGAGGCACCTGGCTTTACCTGCGTAGGTCTGATTTTATTTTGATCTTTCTGGTAAAGAAGGCGGATCGAGTCTTGTCATGGTCCATGTCCCGTTCCACCCTGTTTCGACCAAACCTTTTCTCCTTGGTATTTCTTTTTTATTTTCCTTCCTCTCCCTCTCCTTCAAAAGAGGATGACCGTGGTGGAGGCATCTCCTGCACCTCCACGTATAAATCTAATTGTGCCAACCACTCCTCCAGCTGCTCCTCCAACGCCTTATATTGCTGCTGTTGTTGTTGTTGTCTTCATCTCTTTCTTCTCTTGGTGGGGTGATCGCGAGTTGGTTTGTTTGAAGGCCGGATTAGAACTCCAAAGGAATTTTTAAACTTATCTATTTTATTAAACACGTCGACGTGTACATATTCTAACTAGACGGTGGGGGTTGCTATCACACCCACTAGGGAGCAGTTTCCCGAGACACCAAAAGAACACGTCTACATTTATCGACGTGTAAAACTTAACTCGCTGAAAAACACTTTCTATCTCTTTAATATTTTGACGATCGGCTCAGCCAATCAAAATCGACTATAGATACTTGAAGTATAAAGCATTAAAAACAATATCAATACAATTTCATCAAATTTAGGAACAAACACACTAAAGATATTTAATAACTAAATAAAATACGACACGACCACTGTGTTACGGTTTTTTGGGCATATAATGTGTATAACTAGTGAGCGAGTCAGAATGACTTATTTCCCTTTATAATCGACCAATGGAAGGTTGACCAATTAGAAGCCGCACAACACTGTATTCATCGTGTATAAAGGCGGCCATCTTGTTTCGTCTACCGGAAGGACCAAAGGTGACCAGGAGAAGGATGAACTACACTCTGCTGTGATATCCACTGCGAACCTTCACTACGCGTTCCTACTGTCTCCGAAATATTCACTGCCAACCCCTAGATTCAATACTCAAGGACGACCGTCATGGAAATGTCTAACACACTGAAAGTGACACGTGATGACGAGATACGTTAAAAACTGACACGATGCCGTAAGACACGACATTTAAAAAAAACGATAAAACCGACATAACACAAAAACAAAATATTCTTTGATAATTGTTTATAAAGGATGAAATTATTCAGATATTGGACATTTTATATTCAAGCTTCCACCGTGAACCAGTGTTGTGTACCCCCTTCGTCCTGGAGAGGTATTTTGGTTGATGGAGTTGATTCCATAACAAAGCTGCATTCTTCTCTCTCGGCCGTCTTCTCCCGGTCGGGTGATCGCTAGCTGTTCTTTTAGTTCGGAGAGAAAATAAGAACTTCAACAAAAGGAATTTTTAAAATTAACTATTTTATTAAACACGTCGACGTGTACATATTCTAACTAGCCGGTGGTGGTGTTGCTATCACACCCCACTGTGGAGCAGTTTCCCGAGACACAAAAATAACGTCTACAGTTATCAACGTGTAAATCTTACGAGATAACTATCTTTCTAACATTCCCACGTTCGGTTCAGACAATCAAAATCGACATCCCTAACATCCGGCCTTAAAAGTCAGCCTCAGAATGCCTGAGCCGAATACACTGCTACTAAAAAAAAATAATCTGGAACTATTATTTAACATTGCTTACCTAGCCAGTTGCAGCGCACAGGAAATTCTCCTGATGAGACGCAGGAAATACAGGACCGGGAAGCTCACCACAGAGCCCAGTTCTTCCAAGCAGAGGCACAAGCATCCCCTGAATTACCATCTGAGACATTTCGGAAAAAGATCAAATGGCTTGGCATGACTTCGATTTAGACATCAGCGAAATACTAAAGACAATCTCAAAAGGCTCGGTGGATACCCGTTTAAGTACTATGTCGAAGATCATAGTTAGCTACGCTTCAGAGCGTTTCGGATACGAGGAAAGGAAGACAAAAGAAAAAAACAGCAGAAAAATTGAAGGGAAAGTAAACTCAAACAATGTAGAGCTGAATTAAGAGCTATCCGGAAGCAATATAAGAAATCAAAACCGGAAGAAAAGGTACCGTTGTAAGAGCTCCGTGATATCATCCGTTTCAAAATGAAATCTTTACGGAGAGCAAAAATGACACAGGAATAGAAGGAAGAAAAGGGCGCGCAAACGATTAGCTTTCGTCTCTAATCCATACGGTTTCACTAAGAAATTATTAGGCGATAAACGTAATGGAAGATTAACATCTACCCCTGACGAAATAAATGACTTCCTTAAAATGACTCTGAGTGACCCAAATAAACATATACAGCTAGGAGAAAACTCCTCTCTAATCACACCTAATTTGCCTTCATACCCTTTTGACTTAAAAGAATCAACATTGAAAGAAGTTCAAACAATATTAAAAACAGCCAGATCGGGATCAGCCCCTGGACCTAACGGAGTCCCTTACTTAGTTTATAAACGTTGCCCATTGTTGCTCCGTATGTTATGGAGGTTGTTAAAAATTGTTTGGAGAAGAGGGAAGGTAGCTGTACAATGGAGGTGCTCAGAAGGAATATGGATCCCTAAAGAGGATGGAGCAAGTACAGTAAATCAATTTAGGTACATCTCCCTATTGGACGTCGAGGGAAAAATATTCTTTAGTATTATGAATCGACGCTTGACAGATTTCCTCTTAAAGAATAAGTATATTGACACCTCTGTTCAAAAAGGAGGCGTTCCAGGCATACCAGGGTGCATAGAACATACAGGTGTCATCACGCAGCTGCTAAAAGACGTGAGAGCACATAAGGGCGATATGGCTTTTCTGTGGCTGGATCTTAAGAATGCCTATGGCTCTATCCCACACAAATTGGTAGAAGAATCGTTAAATTGCCACCACGTTCCTCCCCAAATTATAGAGATCATAGTAGACTATTATAACAATTTCAAAATGAGAACAGCAGCAGGAAATACAACATCTGCATGGCACATATTGGAAAAAGGCATTATAACAGGCTGCACTGTCTCAGCTACCCTCTTTTTCTTAGCCATGAATATGCTTATAAAAGCGGCAGAAATAGAATGCAGAGGTCCCTTAACAAGATCTGGTCAACGGCAACCGCCAATAATGTCATACATGGACGATGTGACCATAATATCCTCGTCTGTGATTGGTGCGAGGTGGTTACTAAAAGGTTTGGAGAAACTTATTTTATGGGCAAGAATGAGTTTCAACGTCGCTAAATCGAGGTCATTAGTGGTGAAAAAAGGAAAAAAAAAAAGAGAGGGATCGTTTTAAATTGTCTGGCGAGTATATCCTGACTATAAAGCAAAACCCAATCAAGAACTTGGGTAAGCGTTTTGATAATGAAGGACTCTGTTGCAATCCAGGAAACAAAGGATATCCTAGAAGCATGGTTAGATAAAGTAGACAAGTCTGGCTTACCCGGACGATACAAGGCTTGGATTTATCAACATATTATTCTCCCCAAAATATTGTGGCCTTTGTGAATCTCTGAGTTCACTACCTCTACCGTAAAACTTATAGAAAAAAAAAGATCAACTCCCGTTTACGGAGATGGCTCGGTCTACCAAAGTGTCTAAGTAGCGCCGCCCTTTACAGTAATTCCAACATTCTTCAACTCCCCTTTAAAAGCCTCGTAGAAGAATATAAAGTCGCCAAGGTGCGAAAAATAATACAATACAAGTTCTCCAAGGACCCAAAAGTGGCAGGAGCAAATATTGAGGTTTACACTGGGAGGAAATGGAACGCTGTAAAGGAGTTGAAAGTGGCAGAAGAGCGTCTTCGCGTAAAAGTGGTGCTGGGCACTGTCGCCACGGGTCGGGCAGGGCTGGGTTTCTTTCCTACTGTTAGAATCGACAAAGCCGTAGGTAAAGGAAAAGCACCAACTCTTACTGGACGAAATTCGCGCAGGGGAAGAGGAAATGAGGGTAGCAAAGATGATCGGGTTTAAACAACAAAGTTCATGGACAAAATGGGAAACAATGGTACCTAGGAAAGTCGGATGGTCAGATCTATGGCGTAACGAATTGGGCATAAACTTTTTGATCCGATCTGTTTATGACCTTCTACCAAGCCCCGTTAACCTACAGTTATTGACTAAATCAGAATCGCCCTCATGCCTCCTATGCGGTCAAATAGGTTCTTTAAAACATATACTTAGTAACTGCAAATCAGCCTTAGCTGATGGTAGATATAGATGGCGCCATGATCAAATATTAAAAGAAATAGCAGAAGTCGTTAGTACAGCCATCCGTACAAACAAACCGAATCCAAACATGAACGTCATAAATTTTATTAAAGCTGGCGCGAAACTGAACCCAAAGAAAATGACAGCACCAAATTGTTTATCATGTGCAGCAGACTGGGAACTTAGAGTGGATCTATGTAAAAGGCTAAATTTCCCCGATCACATTTCCAAGACCCGATTGCGTCCAGACCTAGTCCTCTTTTCAAATAAACTAAAGAAAATCATCATGTGGGAACTAACGATCTGCTATGAGGTTAATGCAGAGGAAGCCAGTGAAAGGAAAAAACTAAAATATGATGAATTACTAGAAAATTGTAGGAACAATCGATGGAAGGCGAGCTGCAAGCCAGCTGAAGTAGGCACAAGGGGTTTTGTAGGAAAATCACTAGTCAGCGCCTTAACAAAAAAAAAAACAAAAAAAAAAAAAACGAAAGGCTATCCAAACCATTACTGAGACTGCAGAAAGAACAGCTAAATGGTTATGGTTAAGACGAGCAAGTGCTTGGACGTGCAAACTGGGGAAAGCCTAAATTAATGCAAATTTTACGCATAGTGTAACATTTTAAACCTGATTGTATATTAGGTGTAAATAGTGTAAAGATATGCTACAACTTTTAACTAACTAGAAATGCCGTAATCGGTTTGTAAATCCGTATAATCGAAAACAGATTTTTTTTTTGTTTTTTTTTTAAACGGTTCATTCGTCAGCCATTGTAAATAATACATACGAACCTTCAAAGGAAAGGAGGAAGGAAAGCGGTTTCGTTTCATTCTATATTTTATTCTACTTATTTTTCCCTTATTTAATCATTCATTTTTTTTTTCTTTTTACAATTCTCGTGTTAACAGTTCGGCTCTTTATTTACCCATTCAACATACGCTATTTTATTTATTATTTCATGTTATTTATTTATTTATTTTCATTTTTGTGTAAATGTTGAATTATTTCGCATAACCATTATTATCCCGATACCCTAGCATCTTGAATAATTGCATAACATCGTAACGTTCAAAAGAGGTCTAGTTTCGATAGTCTTTCCCCCATTTTCGTTCTTTATTACTGAATAGAAATCTCCTGAGCTTTGACTTCCAATTGACCATATTTTCCGTTTTCCTTTTTCTCTCTCTCTCCAACTATTTGACTTTATGCAAAGCATGATTAATCACGACTTTCCCACCAATATTACTTTTTTTTTACCCCTCTTCCCGTTTCGTTTTGTTTTTCTAACGATCCAAAAACATAAATTTAATTTTAAAGGTTTTTTTTTTACTCGTCAACATGTTTTAAATGTTTTTATTATGATATTTATAAGCACTTTCGGTTTAATATGCTGTATTTATTTATTCAATTTAATCGCATAAACGAGTTTTCTAGTCTTTTTTTTTTTACTCGTCAACATGTTTTAAAGGTTTTATGTTATTTATAAACACTGCCTTGGTTTATTTCGCTGTAATTGTTTTTTATTCGTCAACATGTTTTAAACATTTTATTATGATATTTATAAGCACTCTCGGTTTAATTCGCTGTAATTTATTTATTAATTTTAATTGCCGAATTTCTCTTATTATCTCTGTAAATAGTAATTAGTAGCTGGTGAAATGAAACTTGATGGGAAGTGGGTGAAAACGGAAAACATAATTACCTTTTAAGTATCCGATGAAAGGGTGTCCACTCAAAAAAAATGAAAAAAAATACCCGTAAACAGCTTAAATAGAGTGATTGTCAACATCCAATCAAATGTGTGATAACAGGGTACATTTATAGAAGTCAGTGTCCACAAACATTTTTTAGAGAGCGTATCAGAGTCTGATCAGCTCTGATGATGAGGTCAGTATGATGTTTGAAAGACCCGAAACTGCCCAATGATCCAACTTCAGAACATCACTGACGACGCCCTCTAGCGCAAAAAGAGCGTATATTCAAAGCACCTAACCAACTTCAACTACATTATGTTTAACATGTCTGTTGCTGTTTTGATGGAGACTTTGGTTGCTGTCACAGCTTCTCACTCTTCTTTGTTTGTAGGACATCGAACTGGGCATGAGGAACTGCAGTCTTCGATTCCCTCCTCACGACCTCTTTCCAAACACTGAAACCATTCCCCACTGCTTCCTGATAAGTTGAAGGTTTTGCTTTCGGTTGTGGCGCCGGATTCTTACCAGAACATGCTTTTGACAAGTGCTCCGAGGCGCCACAAGACGATCAGTGGGGTCTACAGCCTTCTACCGTGACGAAGATAGTCTGGCTGCGAAAAGTTAATCTGTCAGAGATTTCAAGAAAGCTCTTGCGGGTCATTTTCACTTAGAGGATAAAATCTCCTGAGACAATCCTCACTTTGCTCATGACGGTGGAGAAATCACCGACTTGTTCATAACTAGGAAAGAAGACACCGCCCCCGATGGTCTTCCGTGTTTATCCGTGTAGAGTCATCTTGAGAGTGTCCATGTACCCCGTCTGGAGACAGACCGACTTGTTGGTCAAGATTTTGACAGCCGGTTACTTAGCCTCTTCGTCTATTAGCAGCAGGATGTCCTACATGGCATTCGAACGTTTGGCGAGGACCTTGGCATCGATTTATCGGCTCTTTAGTGGCTCATTCCTGTTGCCACCAGTTAGCTTTCGGGTTTTGAATGCCGGTTGTCAGCAGGGAAATGGTCTTAGCAGTCACGGCATCCAGAGCTTTCGAAATGGTCAGGACCACATTACCGGCGATATACTGACGGTATTACATGCATAGCTGCATAATCTCCAGGTCGTTTTTTCTTGGACCTGTTGGAGGCACAGGATGAAGGAAATGTAGTAGACTATTGCTGGCGAGACTCCGCCATTGGGGTCAGAGCCAAACTACAGCGTACAATAAGCGAAACAAAGAGTTCAACACAGAATGCAAAGAAAAACAAACAGTAATCAAAATGCTAATAGAGACACGCACAGGACAAGCGAGAAACAAAATAAACTCAGTTTTTTTTTCATAGAATATTGCAATCTTACCAGGAATAACTACAAAATACTTCCTCTTTCTCTAATTTATAGGCAAAACCGCCCAAATGTATGCTGTGAATTTTTCCTAGCCAACAAGATACGCCACTTCTCAGTCTCAGTTGACTCCTGAAGTCGCCACTGATCGTTTGTACATATTCCCCACATCTGTGTGTTAACATTCTTAGTTTGTGATTTTTTTTTCTCCATATTACCGTTGCTTTGGCTTTTATATTTCATTTGCTTGCTTAATAATATTTTTGCCCTGTTCTTTTCTTTTCCCTTGTTTATTGCAAACTTTGTCAATTCTGTTTGTTGGCCATTTCTGCCAATTACATTTAACCATGGCCAATTACTCTAAATTTTCCTTGCTCTATATTTATCATTTATTTTGGTTTCTTTCTTTCTTTTTACATAAGTTCACTGTCATGAATTTTCCTCTTCCTTTCTTTTCTTTTATCCACCGTATTTAATTTCTTTCTTTCTTCATCCATTTCTTAAGCGCATTAGCAAGAATTCAATTTGCTTTTTTCTTTTCTTTCTACTTCCGTTTGACGTCCATATTTTAATTTTCTTTCTCCTTCATTATTTATCATTTCATCAACTATACGTAAATTTCTTTCTTTCTTTTCACATAGGTTCACTGTCATTAATTTTTCCCCTTCCTTTCTTTTCTTCTTTTGTCCATCATAATTTCTTTTTCTTTTTTTCTTTCTTTCTTTCTTTCTTTCTTTCTTTCTTTCTTGTCTAGAAAACAAGAACCCGGAAGAAAGTTCCATAAGCGAGAAGTGCGATAGAAGAACCTGTCAGCATAGAACTTACGGTTACATCTATCAATTTCAACTATAACATGATGAGACCTTGTCGCCAATCACGTACTGCGCTTAAATTCATAAAGTCTAGGTACCATAGCGGAAAGTTCATCAGAACAATTACCAATGGAAGTATTTATAGAAAAGCCACAGTGAAGCTACCTTATGGCGTTAAGAAAGTGACTGAAGCCGAGATACCAGATCATGACCAAAAACATTGCAGATTCGCCTTTAGATTTATCAAGAATCTCTAAATTTATGGCAGGAGAAACAGAACAGATGTGTCAGCAATATTAAAAGCAATGACGAGTGGTAAACTCATAAATATATATGTAAAGTATGTAAAGGCCTATATAATGATTTTGAACACATATTTTTCCCGACCATTGATAGATATGTAGATATTTAGGTGTGTAGATATGTATATACATATCTACACACTTTCATATCCTAACGTATATAAAAACATTTTTTTAGGAATTGTTTTATTTATTTATTTATTTATTTATTAATCCAACAAATTCTAATTTATTTCTTGAACGTTTGTTTTTTATTGGATACCGGAGGGCGCATATTTTTCTAAGATTTCTCGAATATTCAGGCCGGTAGGTGAAAATAAGTAATTTTTTATCCCATGACCCATATGATCGTAGAGGCACCATGAGTCCTGCAACTACAGTAGAAAGTAGTGTTTCTCGGGCAAGATAGCCTGGCGGTGGCCAACCCTCTGCTGCACGGATGTGAATTCAGAGTTTTTCCTTCTCCTAGACTGGTTGCCATCCAAGGTTATAGAACCCAGTCCTGCTACTTACCCAGAGTTGGAAAGAAAAGAAAAGTATTCATACCTTTCCCAAGCACGTAAGTGAATGCAATGGATCCGACTGAAATTCGAACTCTCCAATTCCTCAATCATAGCTGCTATCCATTACTCCACTGTACCTCTGTCTGTCTGTCTGTCTGTCTGCCTGCCTGCCAGCCTCTCTCTCTCTCTCTCTCTCTCTCTCTATCTATCTATCTATCTATCTATCTATATATATATATATATATATATATATATAGTGGACTCTTCCGTCGTATTCGACGTATGAGGGTCAAGCAGTTCAGTTCCTAGAAACCGACACCCCAGCCACATAATTGATTCTAGTAGTGAAGGTTTTCTACAGAACAAGCCACACGTTTTGTCGGTCCGAAAACATATCCGTGGTGGAACTAAACTGAGATTCTCTCTAACCATATGACTGTACCCCCAGGAGCCACGACTACTATCACCAAGCCGCTCAAACTTGAGCATTAGAAGCCGGTTCAAGCAATCATATACAAAGGTGATAGAAATTATTGGGAGGATTTGATAATTATAACACACACACACACACATACATACACACATACGACCTGATTCTGCTGTTCCGCGACCGTTATCGTCGCATAAAAATCTTCTATGTCAACATAACAGAATATCATTTTTGATGGTGATTAACTTCGTTTAAATGTCCACATAATCACTCTTAAGATGTCAAATATGAGCCGAAAGTTTAAATCAAGGAACAGCATAATAAAAAAAAAAAAATTATCCAAATGTTTGACAATTTTTGTCTTTATTTTCGCCAGAAATTAAAGCGACTATACGAAGTTTAGAACGGCTCATGATCAAAGGTAATAGACATTCGTTGCCTGTTTAACAATATAAACTGCGTGCCAAATTATTATCGAGATATTTTTTTCTAATATTTCAAAAACCGTCCAATCAATTCACACAAAATTTTGACACAATGTTGGCAATACTGACCTGCACAATCGCTGAGATTTTTTACTGATCTGCGCAATGTAAACAAACTGGCGCCATATTTGTTATCAGCACGGTGATTTGAGCGTGCCAAATTATTAGAAAAGTATAAGAATTTAGTGAAAAGATGGGCCATAAAAGCAGTTTAAGTGATGCTGAAAAGAAAACTATTACCTCAGATATATCAAAAAGTAAATCTACCCTAGAAATTTTTAGAATGATAGGGAAGTGTCATCAAACAGTGAAAAATTCACCGCCGACCCTACACACGTACGCAAAAGGCAAGCCGAGGGTTATTTCACGTCGTCTCACGTCACGACTTAAACGAGAGGCCACGAAGAACCCTGGACTTACCAGCCAAGAGCTTTTCAGTCGTATTGGGGATCCTACTGTGTCTAAAAGTACTCGATGTCGCCATCTGAGGGAAATAGCAACAACAGTCAAACATGTATCGAAGCCTCCGTTGACGAGAAATCAAATTCAAAATCGATTGAAATGGGCCGAGGACAATATGAAGATTGACTTATCTAAAGTTTTGTTCACTGACGAAACTCGAGCAACACTTGATGGGCCAGATAGATGGTGCAAAGGCTGAGTAATGAACAGACAGAATCACCATCAGTGTTTGAGACGCCAACAAGGCGGTGGAGGCATAATGATCTGGGGTGGTATTATTGGAAACACAGAGAGAGTACCAGATGGCGTCAAAATGACTGCTGATGCATGCATAGCGTTTATGAAGGAGCATCTTGAACCGTGGATGAAAAGGCAAAGAGTTGCCTTCAGAAGGGCCATTGTTTTTTATGCAAGATAATGCTCCCTCACACGCTGCTCACAAGACTACTAAATATTTGAAACAGTTAGGCTTCGATTGACCTCGAAAAATGAAGTGGCCAGCAAATTCTCCGGATTTGAACCCAATCGAAAACCTTTGGAGCATCATGAAGGGAAGACTGTACGCCAACGGACGACAATTCAGGAGCAACGCTGAGTTGTGGGAAGCAATTCTTGAAATATCTCATGGCATTACAGCAGATGATATCCTACAATTAACAAATTCTATAGATCGTCGACTTTTTCAAGTAATTTCAAAACAGGGAAAGCACATTCCCTATTAATTTGTTTAAAACTGTGTTTGTATCTGTTATTATTTGCTTGATTATCTTATTATTAGCTTCTTTTGATCATAAACATTTACGTTCAACATTAATAAACGTTTTGTTTGCTCAATTCTGGGAATTTTACTAAATCTTTCTAATAATTTGGCACAGTGCTGGTAACAAATATGGCGCCAGTTTGTTTACATTGCGCAGATCACTACTATTTCAGTGATTACGCAGATCAGTGTTGCCAATATTGTGTGGAAATTTTGTGTGAATTGATTGGACGGTTTTTGAAATATTAGAAAAAAGTTATCTCGATAATGATTTTGCACGCAGTGTATATTTGAATATATATATATATATATACATATATATATATATAGGTGGCCTGACGATTGCATATAGCATGAAACAGACTGTCGCCTCTAAGTGTTGACTTCTATGTTCCCTTTTATATTTACACACGCTCTATCTCTGATATTGAGCACTTTATTCCATAAATATAGCACACATTAAGACTATATTTCTTTATATATATATATATATATATATATATATATATATATATATATATATATATATATATATATGTTGAATTTTCTGTTTTCAAGATCATTTCACAGACCAATCTCCCACTATTTTGGGGTTTCAAAGGACTAAGTTAATTTCGATCTATCTATCTATCTATCTATCTATCTATCTATCTATCTATCTATCTATCTATCTATCAGTTATTATTATTATTATTAAAAAATTACGCGCAATGGTTTCGTTCGGCCTGATAATATGAAGAAAACTATAAGTCTGGAGTTAGCTTTAAGTACCGTGGAGTGGCTAATAAGAATCCTTTCATTTCTTCAGTCAGAGTCAGATATCATTAGGAAGATTAAATTAGAAATATATCTTTTCTCTTATATATATAAACATATATATATATATATATATATATATATATATATATATATATATATATATATAAGAAAAAATATATATATATATATATAAGAGAAAAAAGACATATATATATGTGTGTGTGCGTGTCTGTGTGAGTGTGCGTGTATGTGTGAAAAATTGTTCGATGGTGCTACAGATTGACAAATCGCATCTGATTCCAGACGTCGTCTCATATTTTCAACTGAAATCGTTTTAACTGACAAGCGTCCAGATTTAATTATCTGGGCGATAAATTAAAACAAAAAAAAATATTACACATTGTGTAAGTAGCACTTGAGGATGAAATAAAACAAAAACAAAAAAAAATACACTATCGATTAATCGTATGTGAGGAAGCTGAAAAAATCACTAAGATCAGAAGAGCGTGTTTGCCAGAAACAACCGACAGCCTCAATAATGTGTCCCATTTACATTGGCTGTCATGGTTTCTTAACTACTTCAGCTTCCGAATATCTAATGTTTGTGGTAATTCCGAATTCAGATGGAAATAAATATCTTAAAAAAAAATCATGAATTGTGAATAGACACAGTCATAAGTGGCAGGCGCATTAAAAGTTTTGAAGCGATTAAATCTTGTGAAATAATGCTGTTCTTTTCAAGAAATATTAAATACCGTCTTTTAAGACAAAAATGATATCTGTAAATAAGTTCAATTTGACTATCATGCCCCCCCCAACTCCCACGAGGAATTGATACATCTCCACAAAACACAGAGTAGGGACCGATAAACTAATTTTATTAGTTATTATTAATGATTTATCTCTTGGTATGAAATTATTTTAATTACAATGTTTGCTTGCCATAAAAGCGTCATCTTCGAGAAATACACTAGTCGAAAGTTTTTTTTTTTTTTTTTTTTTGGCAGCGATGCAACAAACTTTTTTTGTTGTTGTTGACATTATCATTATTTTTATTTCCTTTGATTTCTGGCGTTTACACATTTCTTTCCGGGTCCCGCCCAGTGACCTAACGTTAGAAATGGCATCATGACACTTTCCACTGACAAAAAAAAATGAAAAAAAAAATGACATAGATAAAGCCCTTCATAAAGTGTGGCTGTCCTTGTCAGAACAATTTTGTGTATCTCTTTGAGGCATGGACTTCCAGGAATACCTTCAATTAGTCTACTGGAATCTTTTCCAACCATTTCTAGGGTTACAACTACAACAGGGATTGTTGATGTTCCCATGTGTCACATTTTTGAGATTTCTATTTCAAGGTCCTTGTATTTTGACAGCTTTTTGAATATATTCAACGATACATTGCCGTCTGCAGGGACTGCTATATCAATAAGAAGGCATCGTTTTTGTTTGTTTGTGGTCTTTATTAACAATGTCTGGGCGGTTGCCTTTGATTGTTCTGTCAGAGTGCATTTCGTAGTCCCATAGAATTGTGTCAGGTCCTATCTCCGTAACCGGGTCTGGGTGGTGTTCATACCAGTTTCTTTCAGTTTCCTTCCCGTAGAAGTTGCATATTTTCCAGTGCAGATATTGGCCCACTCTGTCATACCGGGTTTTATATTCAGTGGGTGCCAATATCGTGCAACCTGATAAAAGATGATCAATTGTTTCTGGATATTTATCACAGAATCTGCATTTTGGGCTAACACAATATTTTAGTATATGTGCTTGATAATTCCTAGTTAACAAGCATTGGTCCTGTGTAGCAAGGATAAAACCTTCAGTTTTAGCTATTAACCCTGCATTACATAGCCACTGATTGGTACGCTAATTCCTAGGTACTTATTGGCTCCATCAGGCTCCAGTTCTCTAATCTATTAGTCGTGTTTCTGTAATTCTGTCTTTCTTGAATATTGCTTTTGCACATTTATCTAATCCGAAGTCCATACCTATAACGTCACTGAGGTATTTTACAATATTGAGGAGGTCCTTCAACTCATTGTCGTCTTTGTCAAAGAGTTTGAGATCATCCATGTAGAGTACGTTATTGAATATTTTGTTATTTATTTTGTAACCATAGCTACTGTTGTTCAGTTCATGCTTAAAGAGGATTAATGACAAACAAAACAGAAGGGGTGACACAGAGAGTCTCCTTGAAAGATTCCACGTCGGATATTTAGACTTAGGGTATGGCAGTGCCTCTGATGTGACTAAAGTATAGTTTGGTATTCCACATTTCCATGCTGTGCTTAAGGAACGACTTTGTACAGGGGGAGACTTGTACATTCCCCATTTGTAAGGGAGACTTTGTACATTTCCAAAGTCGTAAGGATCCAAGAATGTGGAACACTATCAAAGTCTTTACGATAATGAATCCACGGTGCGTTAAGATTTCTACGTTGTCTCCTGCAATTTTCCAAGATCATTTTATTTATCAGAAGTTGATCTTTGCAGCCATATGAACCTCTCCTGCATCTCTTCTGTTCCAGGGGAAGAATGCTGTTTGTTTCGAAAAAAGGAATAAGTACGGTTCGTCAGGATAGATGTGATCAACTTATACGTTGTGGAAAGACATGTTATCGGTCTATAATTTTTCGGGTCGTCTGTTTCACTTGTTTTTGGCATGAGGTATGTAATACCTTCTGTAATCCATTCCGTGATTTCAATGTGATTATTTACAGGCATTTATAATGTTTTTGCAAGGATCTTATGGATAGATGAGAGATGATAAAGCCAGAAATTGGGCACCTTGTCATTTCCTGGGGATTTCCATTTTGGGGATTTCGTTAGAGCTTGCCTAGCATCATCTGTGGATATATTTTCCCATTCTTGCAGAAGTGTATCCAGAATTCATTCTTCTTCACGTCGTATCCATTCTGTATTTGGGTTATATTCCATTTGGGCGGTTCAAAATATTTTCCTAAAATGTCTGTACATTCTTAATTGATGGTGGCCTTTCGACATGTATAGGTGTTTTTCCAATTTCCCTGTAAAATTTCTTAAGATGCGTTCGGAATATTTGATTTTGGCGATAGAACCTACAACGTTTTTCGTATCGTCTTCTTCTCTGTGCCTTTAGCTGAAGTTTCTTCTTCAGTATTTCCTTGATTGATGGAGTGTCAATTAGAGATTTAATTTTATATTTACACTTGATCTTTTTACACTTGCGTGTAGAAATATTAGGGTTTGTTTTATTTCTCGTATCAGTTTGGTTTTCCAAGCTGGTTCTCTGTGTCTGTTAATTTTATTTATTGTCTTGACCCCAATCTTCCGAGTCGCTGCTAAAGCTGTTGCGTATATGACGTTGTTAGCTTCTGTGATGTTTCCCGGTGGTTTATCTGTTAACAGTGTTTCCAGAGAAGCGTTGTATATTTTCACGATGTGCTTGTTGGAATTAGTCATATGGATTTTGGGGAGCTGGTCTCTGTCTGACAATAGTATGAAAGTTACTCTGCTGAGTACTTGGATGACGTGGTTTTTCGCTTCGAGGATTTCAGCTTTGTAGTTTTCAAGGAATTCTAACTTAATGAATCATCTTCAGTGACATTGTCTGGAGAACTGCAGGTTGTGTTTAAGGTAGAGTCTTTGATTTTATTTCCTGGGAGGTTATTTCGTATTTCATTTGTTTTAGTTTTTACCTCAACCTCTGTCACATTACTTATTTCTACATTCATCTCATTACAGTTTGAATGATGGGTCATAGTATCTTGTTTTATATTAATTTTACCCTATCTATTTCTGTCTTTGAGAGTCTGTTATTTCGCATGTCCCTACGGACATTGGCAAGCATGTTTTCATCGAGGTTAGGTCTTATATCATTTTCCACTATAGTTCTCCATAATTGCTGGTGTTTTTTGCTGGGTTTTCGAGTGCAGTGAAGAAAAATGTCATGACTTGTCGATACTCTTCGCGAGATCATTTCGTTCGTCTTCTTTTTATTAGTCGATTTGGTATTGAGTCACTTGGTCCAAGGTTGACAATAATCCGGGTTTGGTGACCTAGTGTCTTTTCATTTGTGGAAGATTTTGTTCCAGTGACAGATTTTTCGTCCTCAGACTGGTTCCTCTTTTAGGGACGCGGCCCTTGCTGACCCGGGTGACGGTCGATCCGGTATTTATTATTATTATTATTATTATTATTATTATTATTATTTCTTTTGATTTATAGTGTATATTCATTTCTTTCTGGATCCCAAACATAGAACTCAGATCAGAAATGGCATCATGACAGTTTTCCAATGAGCATTAAAAAAAAAAAGCGAAACAAAAAAATAATTTAGATCACACATATTTTCCACAGGTAAAGCCCATCGCAGCTGTACTTGTGAGTACAATTTTTTTTATATTTCTTTAAGGCATGGGCTACAGGAATCCCTTCAATATGCCTATCAGAAGATTTTCCTAATCGAGTGTTCCATCTTCAGTTGGAGTTTTTTATGCCCTCACCCGCCACATTTTTGGGATTTCAATGTCAAGTTCCTTGTACTGTGATCCTTTTTTGAAGATTTTCAAAGATGCATTACCATCTGCAGCGACTGCCATGTCCTGGAGAAGACATCTTTTTGTTATTGCGGTTTCTAATCTCGATGAAAGTGGTGTTACACGATTTGGGCAATTTTGCTGTTACACCCGTTATATATATATATATATATATATATATATATATATATATATATATATATATATATATATAAATAAAATTGTTAAAAAAATACAAATACTATATTACAAGATTTACAAACAACAGAATTCAAACAGAATATGTGCATTAGCAAGATTTTGTTTCGCTAAACAAAATCAACCAAACTAATTCTGTTAACTTAAGTCCTTTCTTCAAATCAACATCTTTATGTGTTATTTATTATCTTTAGTCCTTTCTACTTATCAACATCTTTAC